GAGAACACTGGGGCTGTGCAGCCTGGAGAAGGGAAGCTGTGTGGAGACCTCAGAGCAGGCGTCCCCACCCATGGAAGGGGGTTGGAACTGAATGATCTTAAGGTCCTTTCCAACCCAGACCATTTTGTGATTCTGTGATGTGTTTGAGAAGTAATTCCCCATGTATTTAGGTGTGTAGAGCTGGTGATTCCTCTGGCTGCGGAATTCCTGCTATTTCATCCCATCATTTGGAAGGAATGAAAAGAAAGCTTGGAGCTTGGAGGAAGGAGACCTCCTTTCCTTCTTGCCTATGGGGATGCCCAGAGCTGGTGCCAAGATTTGATCAGATGTTGCCCTCCATCCATCCCCTGCCCTGGCTGGTCGGACAGCAGCACCCTATGGTGTAGAAGGTAAGGGACATCAGTCTCAAGAGGTGCTCTCTTCTACCTGTGGTCACTTTCTGTCCCACAGCTTCTCTGTGCCCCTTCCTGAAAGCTCATTCCCAGTCTTGTTTGAGAACAGCTGCTCTACCATGGCCCTTTAGCACAAGCGGTGTTTAGGTACAGGAGGTCCGGATGGGTCTTGGCCTGCCATGACATGAACTTTTTACAGGTCTCTACGTAGCTTGGAACAAAGGGGACATGAATTCACTGACATCCATGTTAACTGACATGCATCCCATGTTCGTTGACATCCACCTCACAACTGATCCTGTGGTGATGGCAGAGCAGAGCCGCACACAGCAGCATCGCCACATCAGCAGCCAACCCAAAGGCTGGTGAGGCCACAGAGTCCCAAGTGAGGGCTTGGCGGAAAGGCCGGATTGCGCAAGGGAGCCAGTGAAGGTCAGGGACGAGAGGGAAAGGTGTAGGGAGAGGCAGAGCAGTTGAGGAGCAGGGGAGGAGGGAAACACAAGCAGAGCCAGGACGCGGTGCAAGAAGGGGGCTTTAGCCCAGGAGCCAAGCAGAGGAAGATGGTCCTAGGCAGGCAGAGCCTGCTGCTCTGGCGGATGAGCCAATCAGGGCTGAGCAGAGGGTCGCCAGCCAATCAGGGCGCGTTGAGGCAACTGGATGCGGTTTCCAAGGCAACGGGCCCCATTCTGACAGCAAACTCACTGGGTGCAAAGGGAGGCTGCAGCTGTGCCACAGTGGCATTAAGGGATCGCAGGCTCTTTGGGTTGGGTCCTGGTGCAGGCCCCATTCACAACAGCATGGTGGCCCCAGAGAGCAGCACTGGCAGCAGCGAGGCCTGGGAAGATGTGTGCCTCAAATATCGCTCATTGCTGAAGCAGCTGACGCGCAACAGCAAGCAGCACATCAACATCCTGACCATCCTGGCTGCGGAGAACATGCGCTTCACTAAGGGCATTGTGTCCCTGATCAAGGCACAGATCACCAAGGTTTTTATATGCCAGTGACTCCTACTTGTACCCGTACTGCTGGAGGGACCAGCTGGGGCAGCAGGCATGGGTGGCCTTAGGGCTAGAAGGAAGGGCGTCAGAGAGATGGAGTGCTGAGGAGCACAGGAGACAGGCAGCACGAGGTGCAGGGGTTACAGGAGGAATGTAGAAGGGACAAGGAGAGACAGCAAAGTGGGCAGGGGACTCCCAGGGTGGCAAGAGCCCTCCCTCCCTGCTTGTACTAGAAGAGGGTTTGGGACTCATCCCACCAAAAGCTCTGGGAGAGCAGCATGTCTCGCAATTGGAGCCCCATATCAGTTTCTTCTCATTACTCCAGGCTCCTGCAACCCTAAAACTGCCGCTCCTCTACCTGATGGATTCCATTATCAAGAATGTGGGAGGATACTATCTGCCTGCATTTGCTAAAAACCTACCTTTCATATTTCCTCGCGTGTTTGAACAGGTATGCACACTTTCAGATGAGTTCTGTAATCTCAGCAGCATTTGTTCCTGGGAGGACATACATGCTTTCCATTTGGGGTTTTCTTGTTCTGCTGCCCTGTCTTTAATGTTTTGCTCTTAATGGGAGGCGATGGGCATAAACTGAAAGGCAGGAAGGTCCACCTGAACTTGGGGAAGAGCTCATTTACTAAGAGGGCGACTGAGCACTGGGATGCAATGCCCAGAGCAGTTTTGTGACTCTTTCCCCGTTGCCTTCCAATATTTTTGTTACTTTTTCCCCCCCACATAAATTGGGCAAGTAAATGAGACTTTCGATAGGGAAATAGTTGAAAGAACGTTTTCAGAGAATGGTAATGTGCAATAAAATCTTCAGATAGCCTTGAAACAACAATTCCACATTCGAGCTTCTGTTCCTCAGTGCATGGGTATAGATGTATGACCTGCACTGCTTACAAATTCTGTAGAGCAAATTCAAGGTGTTAAAATGGCAAACTGTTCATGGAGTTAGAAAATAGATGAAATCTTTAGTTCAACAGAAAAGGTCAAGAAATTGTTTTGTATTAACTTAACAAGCTGTGCAATTGTTTGATTGGTTTAGGTCGATGCAGATACTAAGAAATGTTTATTTAAACTGCGCTCCACATGGAACGGTATTTTTCCTGTGAAGAAACTACTTGTACTGGATAGCAGAGTGAGCACATTAGATCCGGCTTGGCCAATTAAACCCCTGCCTGCAAACCTGGATTTATCCAGCATCATTGCGAAACGCAAGTTCCCAAAGAGATCAGTAAGTTTGTGTGCCTGCTGCATGCACCGATGGTGATACGTGTAGTTGTCATAGTTTGTCTGCTGATGTCTGACGATTTAGCGTGTTAATAAAGAAGTATGTGAGCTCTGTACACGGGCAAGAGGATTTCCTGAGCTGAGACTATTGGATAGGTTGGGGTTTTAGATTTCAAAACCCTCTTCCAGATTGTGGAACAATTACAAAGTTCTTGGGGTTTTTGCTTTTCACTTCTGTCCAAAATGCTGCCTGCCCATGATCCTTGTCTTCCATCTCTTCTTGTTGCTCACCGCAAGCCAGGCTAATTCAGTTATATTTGGTCTTATAGAAGAAGGAAGCCCAATTGTTGGAAGTAAGATCAGTTTCCTCATTAGCTCAGGCTGGTTTGATGCCACCATCAGAAGACAGTGGTTAAGCTGCATTGTCTTACATTCTTAAGTGAGAGCCTCCCTATGTTTGATAGTGAATTATACCAAAATAAAGCACCTCTAAAGTGCAGAAATATCAAAGTTAGATCAGATGCTGGGCACCTTAGTTGCCCTGAACCTGTGGAATATGTAGGAAAACTAATGCTGTCATGAGAACATGTGCCTGGGTGATGTATTTTGCAGTACTGACTTTGATTTACTGATTTTGCAGGAACGGGAAAGCACAACAGAATCTGGAATAAGCAGGCAAGATCGAGGACTGAAAAGGCGTCTTCAGGGGAAGTCAGAGGATAGAGAGGAGGAGGTGAAAGAAAAGAGAAATAAGGGAAGTATGGAGAAAAAAGAAGAGGAACATGAGACTTGTGAACACAGACCAGCAGGCAACGGAAATGAAGTAATTGACGGTGCTCTTCAGAAACAAGGCACGGCTACAGAGGATGCCAGAGGAAAATCAACCACGTTGTTCATGACACAACTGTTCAGATAAACTGAGGTGTTCTTTCTTTTGTTGTTTTGCTTGCTTCTGCTTTCTTCCAGTTTACTTCTTTCTGAAAAAAATAATAAACTGAATTGTTAGAATTCTGTAAACTGAAATACTGAAATGAAACAATGGAAAGCTGAAATGAAGAAAACCCTAAAAGAATGAATGAAAATAATGAAAGGAAACAGAATGAAAGGAAAAGCTGAAATAACATGGTGAAATAATGAAAATAAATAGTAAAATGAAAAAAGCCAGGGAAGGAGGGAGGGAAGTAGGCATGCAGGAAAGGAAGAATGGATGGAAGGAAGAGAGGAAGGAGGGAAGGTAGGAAGAAAGAAAAACGAAGGGAGGGAAGGAAGAAAGAAATAATAGAGAAAGAAAAAGGAATGAATGAATGCCTGAATGAGAGTAATACTAATTAAATGCAATATAATTAATTTAAATACAGGAATGAAATGAAATAATAAAATCATACAATAATTTGGGTTGGAAAGGACCTTAAAGCTCATTGAGTTCCAAACCCGTACCATGGGCAGCACCACCTTTAAAAGACCAGGTTGCTGCAAGCCCCATCCAACCTGGACTTTGAACACTGCCAGGGATGGGGCAGGCACAGCTCCTCTGGGCACCCTGTGCCAGGCCCTCACCACCCTCTACCTCCTGTAACAATTTGTTGCTAATGAAGTGAAATTGAACTAAATGAAATGAAATGAAGTTCTGTCTATGAACTCACATGAAATCCCGTTTCAACCTGTAACCTTGGTGAGTCTTCAGAATGCTTGTGGAGCAGAAAAAGCATCCGATGTCCAGGCAAACAACAGGCTCATGGTTATGTGACTCATGGTCAGTGCAGGGAATAGAGTGGCATGGCATAGCACAGCACAGCATAGCACAGCATAGCACGGCATAGCACAGCATAGCACAGCATAGCACAGCATTAGGGTTTCAAGGCGTGGTCTGGAGTGCAGGGGGAATGTTGGGAGGCTCTGGGGAGATTTTGGGGTGCGTGAGGCTTTTGGGGTGCAGGGGTTTTCCTGGCAGCCAGCTGGGTTTGGGACCCCCAGGGTGCTTTGGGCATGCAGGGAGGGGGTTTTGGGGGCACAGGCGGTTGGAGCGGGTCCCATGAGGTGTTCTGGGGGTTCCAGCAGAGGTTTTGGGGGGTTTGGCGTTCTGGGGCTTTCAGGGTGCAGGGGTAGAGCAGGAAGCTCGCTGGGGCTGAGGCTCTGGGGAGGGGAAGGGGCTCGAGGTGCAGGTGGTTGAGGTGCTTTTCCTGTCCTTTGAGAAATAGATATATAACACATCAAAACACCCAGGGACCTGTATTCTTGAGATGCAGGTGAAGAGCAGTGATGCTACAGTGACATCAGGTTCTGCTCTGAGTGCTGGGTACTTCAGCCTCAAGGCCGAGTGGGCATAGACATGATGCATCTGTTGGTTTTCACCACTTCCCTGTCACCTTCTTTAAAATGGATCCATTCTGATCCTCCTTTGGGGTGGGAGCAGGACAGAGCTCCAAATCTTGCTTGTCTTTAAGACCCCAGGAAAGAAGCCAAGGCTCTGGGGGAAACTGCACAGTATTACTTGGGGTAGAGAGGAACTGAAGTTCAAGCAGAAACTGCCCCTCGCAGACCTGATGGCTGTTTGCACATCTTCCCCTCAGGCGAGAAATGATGCCGCTGCTGTCCCTGCTCTTCTCTGCCCTCTTCATCCTCTTTGGCACTGTTATTGTTCAGGCTTTCAGGTGAGTGCACACCAAAAGGCCTTTGAGGATTTTAGAGTCCAGGCACGAGCAGCTCAGTCTGATCTGGTGCCTTAAACACACTCAAGATCATCTTCCTCTGCAGCGATTCCAGCGACACAAGGGACAGTCCTCCCTCAGAGAAAGAAGAAACCGCAGCAAAGACTGAGAAGAACGACGCGAACTTCGGCAAAGAGAGCAACAGGTTCCCCCCCTAACTTCTTCCCAACTGTTTTCTGCCCATGCTAGCGAGGACAGGGGTGCTCAAACTCACTTGTTAAGCAATTCCCACCACGTTTGCCCAGACGACATCCGTAGGGTAAGGGTAAAGGTCTGCCTGACTCGTTGAGGATCCAAGTCTGGATCTGCTGCCCTGCTTGAACTGGCCTTATCTACAGGGTTTATGGGGCAGCTCAGCACGAGGGGTGGGTTCATGGTTTCTCTGTCCTTGGTTCCCCGTGCTCCCTCATTCCCCTTTCACTCAGTGACTGTTTCTTTGCAGCAGGATTCCCAAAAAGGGCTTTGTGGAGGTGACGGAGCTGACGGACATCAACTACAACAGTAACTTGGTTCGCCTCAGGCCGGGTCACATGAATGTGGTCTTGATCCTGTCCAACTCAACCAAAACTGCCCTCCTTCAGAAATTTGCCCTGGAGGTCTACACGTTCACAGGGTAGGCTGGGGCCCTTGCCCAGGTTTCTGGTACTGTTTTAACACCTTGCATAAGGCCGCTCTGGTGCCATGGCAGGAGTGGTGTCAGCTCACCTGCCAGGAGGGAGCTGGGTGGTGACTGTGCTCATGAGTGGCCTCAAGCCGAGGAAAACCAGGTGGCCTTTCCAGCCTGTACTGGGCAAAGGTGACCGGACAGGTCTGGCACTGCCACCACCTTGGGCATACCCATGTTTCAATGACTGGAGAGCATGAGAGTGCCACACAGCAGGCAATTGTCAGGTGTGCAGAGCCAGGGTGGAAACGGAGCTGCAGCACCACAGCCCTGCACCTGCCCTTGGTGACAGAAGCTGTCCCTGTTACCTGTCCAGCAGGAATGTGGCCTGGCTCAGGGGGTGTGCTAATCCCTCTGCTCTGAGGGACTGGGGTGGGTCAGAGCCCGGCCCTCCCTTCCCCTCTGTGCCGCCTGTGGGTGTTACCACATGTGGTGGTGACAGCCATGTAATCAGTGTGTGTTTCTTCAGCATCCTTGACCAGTTACCTGTCTCTTCCAGAACTGCCTTTCACAGTTTATGAAGTTACCACTGTCCTTTTCTTTCCTTTTTGCCCCACATACCTCTTTCTTTTTTGTTTGTTGGTGGTGTTTTTTTAACATAAAGAGCACAACACATTGCATTATTGACTTCTCATTGGGATGAATGGCATATTGAAAGGCATTTTGAATGATTCCTGGAAAACAGAGTTTTCAGCATATCTTTTTTTCAGTAAACTTTCCTGTTTCCCAACAGTCTTTTTCATGTGACTGATGGTTGTCATTTTTCTTACCTTTCTGCTTTCTCTGCTGTCTCATATATGATTATATAAACACCCCCCTACATGGATCTTGAGGCAAGTTTTGATTAGGGAATAAGGAGCTTTTGAGGATGAAGAATGTCCTAGCCTCAGGGGCTAGGAAGAAGGGCATTGGGGAGATGGAGTGCTGAGGAGCACAGGAGACAGGCAGCACAAGGTGCAGGGGTTACAGGAGGAGGAATGTAGAAGGGACAAGGAGAGACAGCAAAGTGGGCAGGGGACTCCCAGGGGGGCAAGAGCCCTCCCTCCCTGCTTGTACTAGAAGAGGGTTTGGGACTCATCCCACCAAAAGCTCTGGGAGAGCAGCATGTCTCACGATTGAAGCCCCATATCAGTTTCTTCTCCTTGCTCCAGGCTCCTGGAATCCTGAAACTGCCGCTCCTCTACCTGATGGATTCCATTATCAAGAACGTGGGAGGAGATTTTGGGCCTGCAAGTGCTAGAAACCTAACTTTAATATTCCCCTGCGTGTTTGAACAGGTATGCACACTTCCAGATATGTTCTGTAATCTCAGCAGCATTTGCTCCTGGTAGGACATACATGCTTTCCATTTGGGGTTTTCTTGTTCTGCTGCCCTGTCTTTAATGTTTTGCTCTTAACGAGAGGTGATGGGCATTAACTGAAAGTCAGGAAGGTCCACCTGAACTTGGGGAAGAGCTCATTTACTAAGAGGGCGACTGAGCACTGGGATGGAATGCCCAGAGCAGTTGCTGTGCCTCCTTCCCCGTTGCCTTCCAATGGTTTTGTTACTGTATTTTTTTGCCCACATAAATTGGGCAAGGAAAATGAGACTTTTGCTAGGGAAATAGCTGACAGAAAGTTTTCAGAGAATTAAATCTGAGCAATAAAACCTTCAAAAAGCCTTGACACAGCAACTCCACATTTGAGCTTCTGTTCCTCAGTGCATGGGTATAGATGTATGACCTGCACTGCTTACAAGTGCTCTAGAGCAAGGTGTTAAAATGGCAAACTGTTCCTAGAGACAGGAAATAGATAAAATCTTTAGTTCGACAGAAAACATCAAGAAGTTTTTTTCTATTCCCTTAACAAGCCCTACAATTGTCTGATTGTTTTAGGTGGATGCAAAGACTAAGAAGAGTTTATTTCAGTTATGCTCTACATGGAACGGTCTTCTTCCAGCAAAGAAACTACTAGTACTTGACATCAAAGTGAACGTGTTAGATCCAGCTTGGCCAATTAAACCCCTCCCAGCAAACCTGGCTTTCTCCAGTATCCTTGCAAAACGCAAGTTCCCAAAGAAATCAGTAAGTTTGTGTGCCTGCTGTGCGACCAGATGCTGATACGTGTAGATGTCATTGCCTGTCTGCTGCTGTCTGACAATTTAGCGCGTTAATAACAAAGTATGTGACCTCTGTACACGGGCAAGAGGATTTCCTGAGCTGAGACTATTGGATAGGTTGGGTTTTAGGTTTCAAAACTCTCTTCCAGATTGTGGAACAATGACAAAGTTCTTGGGGTTCTGTTTTTGACTTCTCTCCAAAATGCTGCCTGCCCATGATCCTCGTCTTCCATCTCTTCTTGTCGCTCACCGCAAGCCAGGCAACCTCAAATATATTTGCTCTTAGAGAAGAAGGAAGCCCAATTGTTGGAAGTAAAATCAGTTTCCTCATTAGCTCAGGCTGGTTTGATGCCACCATCAGCAGATGGGGGTTAAGCTGCATTGTCTTACATTCTTAAGTGAGAGTCCCCCTATGTTGATAGCTAATTATTAAAAAAAAAGGACCTCTGAAGTGTAGAAATATGAAAATTAGATCAGATTCTTGGCAGCTCAGTTGGCTTGAGCATGTGGAATATGTAGAAAAACTGATGCTCTCATGTAGGTAGTTAGGGTCTGGCGGTCGGAAGATGTCGCGCTGTACGGAAAGATAAGACCCCCCTCCGAGTCGCCAATAGGGCCTAGCCTAGGTCGTAAGCAGAGGGACGTGACGTTGTAAACCCAGGCTATATAACACCGTGTTACTCGCCAATAAACGCCATTTGCCATCCACCACATTGGTGTCCGTGAGCTGATGGCCCGAGCAGCCTGGGATTGCTCGCCATGCTGTTCCTGAACCAGGTCGCCACGCCAATGAAGGCAACACTGTCATGAGAACATGTGCCTAGGTGATGCATTTTGCAATACTGACTTTGAATTACTCATTTTGCAGCAATGTGAAAGCACAACAGAATCTGGAATAAGAATGATGAATACAGAGAACTCAGAAAATCTATGTGTAAAAGAAGGGAGTCTAAGTCCAAGTCCAAAGTGGTCACCATGTACACAAGAGAGGAGCGCACGGAAAAGGAGATGTGGGAGTTTATCTAAGAGTTCATCACCTCCTAAAATAAGGAAGGTATGTCAGCCCTAAGCAGCCTCCTGTTGAAGAAGGCTTATGCAGTCCTTTGTGGACCTTTCAACACCAGACTGGCATGGCTCACTCTGGGAAGGACTTTCCCATGTATAAAATCATTGAGAAACTTACACATGAATTTCAAGGAAAAACAAGCACAAATGAGGGCTCCTCCACAAGAGATACTGCTCCAGTCTCCACTGGGCAGCTTCAAAGACAGAGTGGGAGGGCTGAACTTACACTCCCTCCTAGAGTAATGAATTCAAACCTGGGTTTACAAGGACTAAGTGGAGCATCCTATGACCGGGCCAACAACCACGTGGAGGGCAGGGACAACCACGGTAACAGGACTGTATGGATTAGATGGCCTGGCACATCAGAGCCACAGAAGTATAAGGCTCTAGTAGACACCCCAGTAGTGCACCCTAATCCCATCCAGGGTCACAATCTATTTGTATTTCTGCAGTGACAGCAGCATCCCAACTCAAATAAGCCTGGCTGGGAAGGAGTGCCAAAAGCATCCCTCTGTGACTGGCCCAGAGGCATTTCAAGCACCAAAAAGCACCAGACAGGGTACCTCTGCCCTTTTGGCATAGCTGCTTTAGAGACACAGGAAATGAAGCAGCTCTCTGCCTTGCCTGCTCTCTCTGCTGGGCGGTTGCTGAAGCTCAGACAACAACAAGTGTCAATCACAACCAAAACAGTGCTAAGGAGAGTTCAGTAGCACTCGCTCACCCTTCCATGGCAGCCATACACCCAGCACTGCGCCGATACCTCGTGGCACCCATCTCTGCTGCTCTGCAGTTGAGCATCTGAACCTGACTCCCTTTTGATCACCAACCACATCAAGGAAGCAGGAACTTTGATGCAACTGGACAAGGGCAGCCATGATGGCATCGCTGTCAGCTTCACCATCCAGGAGTCCACCACCACACACCATCCATCTTTCCTGCAAGGAAACACTCATGACAGGTGGAGCCCCAAGTCCCGGACTGAAGGAATCCTACCAGCTGGGGTCCCAAAAGGCACTGACATGTTAGCAATGCCCAAAGCACTTCATAGAAAGAAAAACAGAACTACAGCCAGATTAAGCTGGATATCAAGCTAGAGCAAAGCAAAACTTCAGGATTATTACTTAAGATTGCTGCTGCAATTCACACAGCAATTCCTGGGTAATCCATTAAACCAAACTCTTTATTGACATATGATAAACCCTCAGCAGACTATCAGTTATCTACTCCTGAGCAGGGCAGGACATTCACACCCAAGCAGATCCAGGGGTTCTGACTCTCTCCCTCTTTGAGACACTGGCCATGACACAGGCAAGCAAAAGGTGCCAGCCTACACTAAGAAAAACCACAGAGCTTGATCTAATGCAGCACCTGAAACTCAGTCTTTCTCTGAGGGATGCGCTCAGGTTTCTGAGCACGGGCTGCAGAGCTGTGGAAAAGAGAAATTCTGCAGGAGATCAAAACCCCCAGAACCCTTGCACTGCTCGCTGGCCAGTCAGTGCCCTCTTGTGGGGATTCCAGGTACTAAGAAAGTAGCAATGGCCAAGATAAACACAGGTTGTGCCTGCGTATGACCAGCTCTAAAATGTCACCTTCCTTGTGCTTTTTGCTACAACACATTAAAATGGCCATATTAAAAGGCCCAGGGACTGTCCTTAAGGAGGCTGCAATGAATTGCGTTACCCCTCTCTGGGGAGCTCTCTCAGTCTCCCCAGAGCCCAGCTTCAACACTGAAAACTTCCAATCCCTGCTCCCATGCCTGAGGTTCCAGGACACAAACCTGGTGCCGGGCATCACCTGCAAATGGCGAGCTCTGGAATGGTGCCACCGACACGGCAATCCACCCTGGAACTGATCACCTAAAACTCCATCTGTGTATTGCCCTCTGCTGAGAGCTTTCGGCTCTGCTGGAGAACTGCTCTCAGAGGGCAAACATCCAGCCCCTGGTCCCACACCTGCAGCTGCCAAAGACAGAAAGCTGTTGCTGTGCGCAGCCTGCACCTAGCAAGCCCAAGAACAATCCCACCAACACGGCAATGCACCCTTGATTAGCCACCCAAAACTCTTCTGGGCTCACAAGGCTCTGTTCCGAGGCATCTCCCTCCCAATCCTGGTCCTGAGGATTGAACCCAGTTGGTGTCCCTGCGGCTCCGCGTTTTCCTCTTTCTTCGGTGCCACGCGCTTTCATTCCTTCAGTTTCAATATGAAAAATAGGGGTGGTCCCTGTTCGGGTGCC